GGGGGGGGGGGGGGGGGGGGGGGGAGCCGGGCAAAAGGGGGAGCATCGAGAACAGCCGACCGGCCGTGGGAGGTACCTTTGCCGATCACCTCGCGCAGGGAGTAGTTTCCAACGCAGGATGGCTCATCCTCACATATCAATTGAAAAACATGATCAGCGAAAGACTGCTGGAAGAGTTAGCAACAGCGCGATGGAGCGGGTGAGCGCGGCGAGCGCGGCGAGCGCGGCGAGAGGGGGCGAGGGGAGGGGGGTACCTTCTTCTTGGTGGCCTTCGAGCCAGCTCGGACCATGGTAGCAACACCGGCGAAGAGCGTGTCTGCGCGGGGAAACAGAGGAAGCGGGTAGGAGGGAGGGGAGGGAGGGGAGGGAGAGGGAGAGGGGGGAGGATCTGTGGCGTCGTGTGACTCGGGCACGGGAGGCTTGCTGTTTGGCGATGGCCGTGGTCAAAGGGACACGGGAGAGAAGGGAATTGAGATCGGCTGGCGAGCAGGCCCACGGGAGGTCCCCGGAGAGGCAGCGGCACCGGCGGCACCGGCGGCGGCAGCAGCAATGGCGGCGGCAGCGGCGGTGGCGGCGGCGGTGGCGGCGACGGGAGCGGCGACGGCGGCGGCGACGGCGGCGGCGGCGGCGGCGGCGACGGTGGTGGTGGTGGTGGTGGACCTGGAGCGAGAGCAGGCGCAAGAAGCCAGAGCCAGCGTTCTCGGGACGGCAGCCGACGCGAAGGGGCAGATGGGGAGGGGGGGGGGGAAGGGGCAGAGGAGGAGGCAAAGGGTGGGGGAGGGATCTGGGGCCTTGTTGCAGCAACCCACAGAGGGATCCCGGAGAGCAGGGGCGGCGAAATAGCCGTGATCGGGGCCGTGCGCCTGGGCGTACGTGCCGGCGCGCGCGCGCGCGCGCACGGCCGGGGGGCCGCATAGGGCCGGAGGAGGCGTGGGGGAGGCCGAGGGGGCTGAGGGGCCGGTCGGCAGAGCTGGGGAAAAAGGCAAGGGTGAGACCTCACCGGGGGGCGCTTGGACCGAGTCCGCCCGCCCGCCCGTCCGTCCGCCCGTCCGCCCGCCCGCCCACTCGCCCGCCTGTCCGCCGGTGCTGCCTGGGCGTATGGGTCTGGGCGTGAAAGGGCCTCGTCCTCGGGGCTGGGTTCAACGCTGCGAGGCCTCTCCAGGGGCGGGCGCAGCAGGCCATTTGCTCCCCGCCCTGGGCCCCTCGTTTCCGTCAGCGGGGCCGGGGGGGGGGGGGGGGGGCCGGGCGGGCCGGGCCGGGCCGGGCCGGGCGGCCACCGCACACTATTCCAACCGGGGGCAGAGCAGATCTCGCCCTTACAGCCGGGGGGGCGGTTCGGGCGCCTTCCCTCGGCCTGGGAAACGACTCGGGTCGGCCTGCGAGGGCGCGCGCGCGCGCGCACACACACCGCCGACCTGCCCGGGCGAGATGATAGGAGGAGAGTCCGATCGACCTCGGGCGGGGTGCCAGCCACTACGCGCGCGGCTCTCTCGGGCCAGGGCAAGAGTAACGGGACACAACGAGAAATAGGGGAACCCGCTTGGCCGGGGGGGGGGGGGGGGGGGGG